ATAAGAATATTATTTTCTAATTTGGCCACAAGTTGAGTCTTTTACATGGTGTTCAAGGTTTCTGTACAACATATCAGTACTTATAATTTATATCACTCAATGCGGCAAAGAATCTTTGCATAAAATGGCCTACCGCTGTATTTACGTCCAATTTTCCTTTCCAATTCTGATATATGTTGATTTGATGTGAATGTCGAAAACGAATCTATATAGTCAAAGTATCAACAAGAAACGGCCCAATTGCTTGCATGATGCGGATCCTCAAGAATAGTACATAAGTACCATCACACCTCACATCATCTACTATCAGCATCAACTTGCTTGTTGTCGGAATGATAACAAACTATTAGATTCACACAAGTTCACAAAGCATGTTTTTGATCAGGTTTCGTTCACATCGTGTAGGTCCAACAAATCGGCTAACCACAAACATTGGTGGGTTGTTTCCACCATTTTCACAGAATGACCTTTTACTTACCGTTTGCATTTTTTTCTTCTCCCCCTTCGTTCACAGCACTGTCGTGCACTGTGTAGATTTGGGCCCGTTTCCGATGATCCCGCTGTTGCAGGCTGAATGTGCAAAAACATATTTCAAATACATTCAAATACTAGGTATATCACTTCTTGGAAAGAAATAAGGTCTGAATCTTAGGGACCAAGGCTTGCTTTGGGGCTGCTTTGTTTTGACCATGCAACATGCCCCGCACCCTCAAATGCTTTGAGTTCTGTACAGGCTCGGCTGCAAAAGTGGCAGCTGCTCCAGCAGCCCCAAGTAAGAATTCAGTTTCTGAAAACTTAGCTTGCTATTTATCAACTAGACGAATGAAATCAAATCAACACATGGTTGTGGAGAGATGAACAGATGCTCGGATTTCCAAGATCATGGCTTGTTTTTCTCAGGACTCAACGGAATCTTTTGTGGTTGCTTCTCTTGTTTGGCATTTGGATGAAAGGGCAGCCACCAATAGCAAAACAATACGTTTTGTTTTCCAGACATTGGTGAGCTGTTGATTGCTAAATCGCAACCGTACTCCGTGTTGGTTATTCATTTTTGTTTTTTTTTGGTTTTTGACCTTGAAAAAAATCGCAGAGTAATATACGATTTGAAAGCAACTTTCCGAATAGGTTCAAATAATGATGCCGATGATGCTTGGTTGGTTTCATGTTTAGTTTGTGCTTTCCCCTGAATAAAACAAAAGTAATGTATGTATGTATCATGAAAAGAAATTGAGCACTGTTCGTTCCACTCGTTCGAGGCTTTTTCAATCTTAACCCATAATCCACATGGATTCTTTGTATGTGCTCATATAGTTCCCAGGAATTTCGCTTGATTTTGCCAATAGTTCCACTGCTTTTTGGTTTGTTTTGCAACTAGTTCCATTGGGTTTTATTTGATTGTGCAAATACTTCTGCAAGGTTTCTTTTGTGTTTTTTTGAATTCCTCAAATAGTGCCCGTGCTATTCTTGAGGGGTTTTATCAGACCTGATATAGTTCCTCAGGTATTTTGTAGAGGGTCCATATAGTTCAACTACATACCCCGCAGCTGCTCACCATGAAAGAGGCCAAGAAAGGTCCCAACATATTTTACTAAATTTTCCAATGTTATTTCCACACGGGCAGCATTTTTTGGGGAAGCTGGCCCATCATAAGCCTAACTGCCGAGCTCCTGGGAACTGCGTCTTATGCGCCTCGGAGGCCTCGGCCAGGGGCCGCTTATGGCCGCTTCGATCTTCGCTCAGAAGCCGCCTTTCATGTAGGCTGCTGCAAGCTGGGCAGCGGATTCACCTTCACCAGCACAGATGTCGAAAACGCAATCGTCGAAGATCTTGGCAAACAGCCCTAAGTGGATCTCATCTGGACGGGGACGGTTGCCCTTGGCTTCACCCAAGTGTTTTCCGCACGTTGCCCTGGCTTCATCCTTCTCTTCCGGGCTGCAGCTCTTCAAAAAGGCTGCTTCTTCATCAACGGTCTTCAAATAAATGGAGCCCTCGAAACTGCCACCCAGCTGCTTCCAGTTCTCACCCTCCAACAGGTTGGCTGGCACTTGCCCAAGCTGCACACTGTCAGGGACATGGAGGCCGAGCTCCTTCGAGAACATGCTGATCTTCATGTTGATATGTTGTTGCGGCTTGCAAATGGCGTAGAGGGCTCCAATCTTCTGGAAGCCATCCATTTTTTTCATTAAAAGATCCACATGGATCTGCTCCTCAGCAGACGAGGTCGTCATGTTGAGGGCGGTCATCTCATCTCCATGATCATCACGCAGGATCATTAGCTTGGGTCCCTCCACAACCCGCCAAGAGCCGAAACTCTTGGTATGCCACCTGCACCAAGACGCAGCGTTCATGTGGCACCACCATGGGTTTTTCCCAAAATGGGAAAATGCAAAAAATACGCCCATTCTTATGAGGAAAAGAATGATAAACTCCATCAAAATTGGATTTTTCCCTCAAAATCGCTGATATAGATTTTGCCATGTGCCCATGTGCCCATGTGCCCAACGGGGATTTTCCTGCCACGAAAAAAACCCGCCTACAATCCCGTGATGTCAATTCCAAGGCATTGCCGCGACGGTCACCCAGCCCCGTAGAATCCTTCAACAGAAGGCCCTTGGTATAGGAGGCGTGGCCCGAGTAGTGCGCGAAGATCTGCAAATTCACCTGAGACTCAACGACCAATTTTGAATCCCCCAGATAGAACAGTAATTCATCACTATTTAAGTAGGATTTTGCTGTTCTATCTTTTTGGGGGTTGCTATAATGCCAGACCCCAGAGAAAAGATTCAGCAACGTGGCCAAAGCTCACACGGGAGCCGCACCGACATGCTGCGACCCTGACAAGACCCCAGGATTTTGCCAATAATTCCCCAGGTGGAGACCCCAAGAAGAATGAAAGAGAACAAACAAAAATAAAGATCCCTTAGGTCCCTTAGGTTTCTCAGTTTCTCAGTCCATTTCATGTTTCAAAGGAAATAATCGGAAATAACGCGACCAACCAAGCCAAGGTCGCAGGAACTTTCTTACTTGGCGAAGGTTGCGCATCCAAGCCGGCCCACTTCCAAGAAGAGAAGCTGCTGGGGCGCCTCTCCTTTTGGAGCATCTGCATGTCGTCACAATCCTCACATTCCGCAGCAGCGAGGCCCAAAACGACCAGGCTGACGATGCGGAGCATGGCGCGCTTGACGATGTAAGATGTCAAGGCTGGGTCAAGTGAATTCACTGGAGCCGGAACGACAGTGGCCAATGGGATAGGTCACTTCGCCGCAGTTGAGGTTTATCCCACCATGGATCGCTTACAATGGATGGATATACAGCCCAGGCGAGAGCGACACAACTTGTCTGGTGATCAAGGATGTCCATTCATCAATTGATTACAAATCCATTGGGCGGGACACTTTGAATCAAAGTGCAAACTGGCGTTTTTGGTCAATTCCACTAAACACCTTTCCTCATCAAATTATGACTCTCCACTATATATAGAAAATTGGTTAACTTGTGTTAACTTATCCTGTTAACTTGTGTTAATTCATATTTTTTATTTCTCATCAACTGGCTGAGCATCAAGCAATTGTCATTCAACCAGCCCATTTTTGCGTCTCAGTTCGCGATAGAATCTTCCTTCAAAGTTCGCACGTCCTCCAGTACCCAAGCTGCTTCAACGCCATGGCCTTCCAACAACCTTCTGATCTCAGCCAGCGAAGACACTCCGTTGGCATCATCAGATTCATCTTGTCGCAGCATCATCTCACCATGAATGCGCCGCAGGGCTTGTACTGCTGCGTATTCCATGGCATTTTGCAAATCGCTGTGGGCAGGCCCTAGGAATAGCTGCTGCCGTGGAAATTCCAAAGCACCTTGGCTTCGGAAGAGCTTGGGAACCATCACAGCCACCTAGCGGCAGCGGAGATGACCACTGAATACATCCCTCCGACCATTTGTTGTTCAATGTTTTTCATTGTTTTTGGAAATGTTCCATGCTTTCGTTTCTTCTATCCGAGTTTGCCTTTCTCGCATGTATTCTTGGTTCACTAGTCTATATCAATCTCTTGATCTATTCATCTATCTGTCCGTCATCCGCATGCTTTTCACTTTGTAACAGGCGTGCAACAACTGGGCCCTCGTCCTGGAACACTCATGAGTTGTTGCACCTTGACTGCCAATGTTCGACATGTTTTTAAAGGGAAAAATGATGATTCATCACAATGCAGCAACCACGACAACAAAAACAGCTTGAGACTCTTCTAATGATTTTTATATGATTTTTCCCCGAATTTTTTGCTGCCCAATTCTGGGGGGGGAGCGGTTTGCACCTGATGTAGCTGGGACGACGTGAGACCCACCGCACGTTGGCTGAGCAGCTGCCAGCATCGCACCACGCCACCACAGATGACGCGCAAATGCGACAGCAGCAGTGGAGGATTTGGACAGTTCCTTGGAGATTTACCGGCTGCTTGGAGTGCCGTGGTGCTACGACCTGCTACGTGTACAAAAGAAATGTCTTCAATCGGCATGTGAATGGTTTTCCTCAAACAACGTTTGAATATGTTTGAATGGTTTTTGCATTTCCCTGCCAACTTGCGGATACATTCAAATGATAAATATTTGTATAATTGTGTATATGTAGGTATTGCCGGTATTGCATTATTTATTGTACTCAATTTTTCTTGGGGAGAACCCACAAGTTTGGCACAAAACTGAGGAAACACATCGGCTCATCCAAGAATCTCATCGGATACCAAAGGCCGCAAGAGTTCCAAATGGGTCCTTAGCTTGGCTGGTTCCAGGGTTCCAGGGTTCCAGGGTGCCGTTACGGTTTTTATTTTTCTCGGCAACAGCGAACAACTCCCAGACCCAGAGATTAAAACCCAGTCACTGCGGTTGGGAACTGCAACTGTGTGAGAAATCATCACTTTGCTATCTTTTCTTTGCTGGTCAAATACCCGCCTTTTGTTGATTAAATCTCTTTCCTCAACAGCATAGGCTTCAGAGTCTCAGCCCAGGTAAAGTCTCGGTGCAGCTTCCGGTGCAAGGAAAGAGGTTTGAGGATGTTCCAGGATGTTACCGTGTGGGTTCCGGGGTGCTTCGTTCCGGTGTAGTGGTAGGTTCCAGTCGGGGGTCCAATGCGGCGGTTTTCGGGTGAAGCCGCCCAAAAATCTCTTGATTTGGTGAATTTTACCGGATGATCCTTGCCGTGTTCGCTCGCTGTCCCACCTTTGCTGTTGGGGATGCAAGTGGGATTTCTATGGATTTCTTTCATTTTTGATAGTGAAACTATGTTGTCACCCTTTATTTTTCCCTTGGTTAGTCATATCAGTGGAGGACTTCATCCAACGCCACTTCCGAGCTTCGTAAAGGCCTCAACCATGGGCCCCAGCGCCTCCCCAGGCCGGTTTCGCGCGTTGCTGTTGCCGTTCTCGGGCTCCGGCCACGGCATGGCACCGGCAACGGCGCGGCGCCAGAGGTATGGCAGGGCATGGTGGCCCCTGTGGCCATGGTGCGGGCGGAGGAGAATGTCCCAGAAAGTGAGTATTTGTAATAATCATTACTGGCTATTTAGATCTATTTAGTTTATGGTGGTGCTCCAAGAATCGTTTTCAAAGTTGGTTTCGTTCACTGGTGCAACAAGTTGGTTTATGGTAGATATATCAAACTAGTTATTGGGCTTGAAAAGCAACTGACACAATTTAGTGCAGTTGCTAACCACTAAGAATATGGGAAACATGTCCTGCAAGCTTTGCATTGGTAATGGCAAACCCTTGTGTGGCCGTGGTTATTGTGATAAGATGATGGATCCAATTCTGAACCAAGGAGGACCTGGGTGTTTCCGATTAAGAGGACCTGGACTTCTTTGCTGTTTTTACCTACTCCGTGATGGGAATCATTGGCCCCTAAAAAGCTGTTGCTTTAGGAGTTTAGGAACTTTGCGGTTGGGATCTGGACAATCTTAGATTCAGATTCCATGACCATTTTTCGAAGGCGCATGGCACATGGCCAGCAGTTTTCCGTGACTCTGGATCTGTCGCCCACAACAGGACGGGCCCCTCCAGTTATAGATTGGTCGAAAGCCCCATCGAAGCACAGATATATCAGGAGTAAAATCCACCAACTTAGCTAAGTAGGTTCCAAGGTCCATTATTCCGTTCTTAAATCCAAATGTTTGAAGGTTAAACTTTCTTAAAGCATCTTAAACCCCTATTTTTCATGGTGCTCCTTCTTCCCATCCCACCTCGCCAAAAAGATGAGGAGAAGCTGCGAGAGCTGCACGCTGGGTCGTCCGCTGGGCCCCGCACTGTGCGCCAGGTGCGGCAACAACGGGTCTGCCTAGCGACAGGGCAGGGACGGTTCCCACGTGCCTTTTCAAAGACATCTCAAAAGAGAAAATGAAAAGGCAACTGGTTTCAAACCCGGTATATAAATCATTGGTGCAAAAGTATATTTCAACATATAGATCAACATATACATCAACATATACATGTACTATGACATATACATAGATGTAGAACACACAGTTTAGCACAGCTATCATTCCACCACGCGCCTCGTCAAGAGCAACTTGGCCCAGGTGTAGCTGGGCTTCCAGGAATTGCGCCACCACTTTGGGCGGCAACGGCATGGGTGGTGCCAAGGGCTCCTGCGGCCGGTCATGAGGAGATTCGAGATGGCCAGATGCTACCCGTGTTTTGGCAATCTCAATGTGCTGAAATACTCAGTGATCGATAAATATTCATCAACCAGCATAAACCTGTTTTTTACAGCACATTATATATCGTACACATGTACAATGCATTGATTGTACATCTAGGATCATATATATAGGTGTGTGCGTCTTGAGCATGCATGTGCAGATGCATTGTCCATTTCAACCCTCCTATCCTCCAAAACAGCATTGCTGGTCAGCGACAGCGGTGTCAACCGATTGAAAAATATGGATCATACTGACAATACTATTTGATCACTGTAAAAGTTGATAAGTTACAACTCAAAAAAACCTGGGCATTCATTTTTGATATAATATAATATACTGTAATATAAAGCAACATAAAATAATATTATATTATGATATTATAAGATAAAAACAAAAAAATATAATATGATACAATATAATACAATATCATTTTATATTAAATAATAGGTATAATATAATATACACTGCCCTAAAAGTAGATGGCTCAACTCAAAAACCAAAATACCCATAAGATGGCACCGCGCGCTGAGAAAGAAAACGGCGCTATTTTAGCTGGAACATAAAACGAGGTCCGCCAATTGAAGAAAAAATCGCCCTACTTTAAAATGAGAAGGTAGATGGCGCAACTGCCACTCCAGTAGATGGACATAAGGGCATTGTTAACTAAGTTTACTACATTTCCTATCATTTTTGCTTGTATATACGGTGAAATTGCACAAATTTGTATTGTATAAAATGAGTTGCGCCATCTATGTCCCTTAAATCCCATTCAAACGCCAGAATCATTTTTTCGGTGAATTCAAAAATGAATTGCGCCATCTACGTCCCTTAAATCGCATTCAAATCTTTCAAAATTTCAGTGCCACACCTTAAAAATGAACCACTGAAGGTTTTGAAACTGATTGTGGACAGAATTGATGGATGTAAATTTCATTGTTCAACATATTTTGACAAACATGTATTGGAAAAACACTTTAAAAAATTCATTGCCATACCTTGAAGATGAGTTGCACCATCTATGTCCCTTAAATCCCATTCAAACGCCAGAAAATTATTTTTCGATGGGTTCAAAAATGAGTTGCGCCATCTATGTCCCTTAAATCGCAGTCAAATCTTCGAACAAATTCATTGCAATACCTTGAAAATGAACCACTGAATGTTTTAAAACTGATTGTGGACAGAATTTTATGGATAGAAATGATAGAAATCTCATTTTTCAACATATTTTGACAAAAATATATTGAAAAAGACTTTTACAATTGCATTGCAATACCTTGAAAATGAGTTGCGCCATCTATGTCCCTTAAACCCCATTCAAACACCAGAAATTTATTTTTCGATGGGTTCGAAAATGAATTGTACCATTTATGTCCCTTAAATTGCATTCAAATCTTCGAAAAAATCCATTGCAATACCTTGTAAATGAACCACTGAATGTTTTAAAACTGATTGTGGACAGAATTTTACGGATAGAAATGATAGAAATCTCATTTTTCAACATATTTTGACAAAAATATATTGAAAAAGACTTTTACAATTGCATTGCAATACCTTGAAAATGAGTTGCGCCATCTATGTCCCTTAAACCCCATTCAAACACCAGAAATTTCTTTTTCGATGGGTTCGAAAATGAATTGTACCATTTATGTCCCTTAAATTGCATTCAAATCTTCGAAAAAATCCAGTGCAATACCTTGTAAATGAACCACTGAATGTTTTAAAACTGATTGTGGACAGAAATTTACGGATAGAAATGATAGAAATCTCATTTTTCAACATATTTTGACAAAAATATATTGAAAAAGACTTTTACAATTGCATTGCAATACCTTGAAAATGAGTTGCGCCATCTATGTCCCAAAAAGGCAGCTTGATGTTGAGAAAAAAAATGGGGGGAAACCAGCGCAGTGCAAATTTTCCACTTGGGTGCGCCCCGGAAAACGGACCCCACCAAGTGTCAAGTTTCCTTTGGGAAACTCAGGAAAAAACTATTTTTCGGGGGACTTGGTGGGGTCCGTTTTCCAGGGCCAAGCAAAGTGTCAAATTGCCAGAGCGTAGAAGATTGCAAAAAATACGTCATTTTCAGGGACATAGATGGCGCAACTCCCACTCATTCGCCAAAATCAGGCTGCAAATGCCCACATAGATGGCGCAACTCCCTCATATCTCCCGACATCCATCAACCAACCTAACCAAAATATGCCACATCGATCAGAGCTATCCCAAGGCAGAAGGCAAAACCACCAGGAAAGACATCAGAGTTGTCCCAAGACAGGAGGCAAAGCCACCAGGAAAAACATCAGAGTTATCCCAAGACAGGAAGCAAAACCACCAGGAAAGACATCAGAGTTGCCCTTCTTGGGACATAGATGGCGCAACTGCCTCCTGTCTTGGTATAACTCTGATCGATGTGGCATATTTTGGCTAGGTTGGTTGATGGATGTCGGGAGATATGAGGGAGTTGCGCCATCTATGTGGACATTCCCAGCCTGATTTTGGCGAATGAGTGGGAGTTGCGCCATCTATGTCCCAAAAAGGCAGCTTGATGTTGAGAAAAAAAATGGGGGGAAACCAGCGCAGTGCAAATTTTCCACTTGGGTTCGCCCCGGAAAACGGACCCCACCAAGTGTCAAGTTTCCTTTGGGAAACTCAGGAAAAAACTCTTTTTTGGGGGACTTGGTGGGGTCCGTTTTCCGGGGCCAAGCAAAGTGGCAAATTGCCAGAGCGTAGAAGATTGCAAAAAATATGTCATTTTCAGGGACATAGATGGCGCAACTCCCACTCATTCGCCAAAATCAGGCTGGGAATGCCCACATAGATGGCGCAACTCCCTCATATCTCCCGACATCCATCAACCAACCTAACCAAAATATGCCACATCGATCAGAGTTACCCCAAGGCAGGAGGCAAAACCACCAGGAAAGACATCAGAGTTCCTTCTTGGGACATAGGTGGCGCAACTGCCTCCTGTCTTGGGATAACTCTGATCGATGTGGCATATTTTGGTTAGGTTGGTTGATGGAGGTCGGGAGATATGAGGGAGTTGCGCCATCTATGTGGGCATTCCCAGCCTGATTTTGGCGAATGAGTGGGAGTTGCGCCATCTATGTCCCAAAAAGGCAGCTTGATGTTGAGAAAAAACATGGGGAGAAACCAGCGCAGAAGATTGCAAAAAATATGTCATTTTTAGGGACATAGATGGCGCAACTCCAACTCGTTCGCCAAAATCAGGCTGCAAATGCCCACATAGATGGCGCAACTCCCTCATATCTCCCGACATCCATCAACCAACCTAACCAAAATATGCCACATCGATCAGAGTTATCCCAAGGCAGAAGGCAAAACCACCAGGAAAGACATCAGAGTTGTCCCAAGACATCAGGCAAAACCACCAGGAAAGACATCAGAGTTGTCCCTTTTTGGGACATCGATGGCGCAACTTCCGTCATTTTGCCAGCAAAGGTCGAGACGCTTTAAAACCAAATTTTAACAAGTGACCTGAGGAACCGTTTTTGCCGTCAAGAAACGGTTCCTCAGGTCACTTGTTAAAGTTGGGTTTTAAAGCGTCTCGACCTTTGCTGGCTCAAAACAACTTCCGTCATTTCGCCAAAATCAGGCTGGGAATGCCCACATAGATGGCGCAACCCCCGGAGTTGCGCCATCTATGTCCCAAAAAAGCAGCTTGATGTTGAGAAAAAACATGGGGAGAAACCAGCGCAGAAGATTGCAAAAAATATGTAATTTTTAGGGACATAGATGGCTCAACTGCCCTGTTTTAAAGGGAGTTGAGCCATCTATCCCCCATTTTTTTTTGACATAGATGGCGCAACTCAAGATTCTGAGCCATCTACTTTTAGGGCAGAGTAGTATAATATAAAAAATATATAATATAATAAAATATAATACAATAAAATATAGTATAATACAATATAATATTGTATATATATACTGTAAATATAATATATATGTTTTTTCATTATGCATATATATATGTATAATGTGTATGTATATATGTATATATAATATGTGCATATATATATAATGTATATATGTATATATATAATGTATATATGTATAAATAAAATATATATGTGCATGTATATGCAATATGTGCATATATATCTGTAATGTATATGTATATATATATATTTACAATGTATGTATATATATACAGTATGTGCATATATATATAATGCGAATGCCTATATATTATAGACAATATGTGCATATATATATACAATGCGTGCATATATGTATATATATATATGCTTAATGTATATGTCTATATTTACAATATGTGGATATATATATATATATATAATGTATATGCATATATATATATATATTTACAATGTGTGCATATATATTTATAATGTATATGTACATATATACAATGTGTGCATATATATAGTGTATATGTATATTCATACAATGTGTGCATATATATAAATAATATAATGTATGTGTATATATATATATATACAATGTATGCATAGACATAGATATATATATATATAATGCATATGTATATATATATATATATATGCATATGTATAAATATACAATGTGTGCATATATATATATACATACATATAATGTATATGTACTTAAATGTATACAATGTGCATGTATGTATATATAATGTATTTGTATATAGATACAATGTATGCATATATTTATAATGTATGTATATATATATACAATGTGTGCATATATATATAATGTATGTGTATATATATATACAATGTTTGCATATCTAGAATGTATATGTTTATATATATATACATACATAACTGGGGAAACTGCCTTGGTTCTTCCCAGCAGTTGGACCATCGCGGCTCCTGTGCTTCCAGGCTCTGCCACACATCTTCCACTGTCGGCAGGCGCAGCAGTTGGTCCCCCCTCTCGGGGGGTGGTTGCCTCGCTGGTCGCTGTAGTGTAACTGTAGATATATGCTGGAAATATGCTGTAAATATATATATATATATTATAGTTGTAGAATAGTGATATAGCTGTAGATAAATATAGTTGCTGGAAATATAACTATTCTAATATATAAAAACTGGAAATATATCGGTAGATAAATAGATAACTATTACTATTGTTATGTCTATATAACTGTAGATATATGCTGGAAATTGGTTTACTCACTGGTAGATATATCTATAACTTGAAGTTTCGTAGAATATGGATGAATGTGGAATTGTCAACATCATTCCCATTTTTAGGGGCGTTATTTGGAGAAATTCCATATTCTATCTATTTCAAGATGACTTGGATGTGTTGGCTCTGGCTAAGTCCCCACAATCTATCGTGTTCTTGGGAAGCTCCATTCCTAGCTCCAACTGGCCCATTGTTCGCAGGGAAGATGGCCCTGCCCCACAATCTCTCCATCGCTGAGCATCTCAAAGTCTTCATACGGGATCAGAGATGAGCTGCCAGCCAGGCGGTGGCGAATCCTCGATGACGTCATCATTGGTTTGGTTGGGGAAATCTACAGATTTGGCTGGGGAAATACGTTTTGTGAAACATTGTGAAACCATTAAAGAAAGAATGGTGGTTTCCTGCATTTCCCGCAGATTTTGACTTTCCTGGACATAGTTGGTTAATAGCTTCGTGGTTTTCAATCATATACGTTTTGATCAACCATGATTTTCACGAACCTGAAGCCCAAGAAGTGAGCCCTGAAGGATGCTTCCACACCTTCTGCTGCCAGGGTTCTTGCCTCAGGCTGCGCGCACCAGGGCCGATTTGGCGAATCCAGCGGATTTCATCAACAGCTGCATCAGCTCATTGAGATTCACCCATCGACATTTATGACTTGTCTGACTTATCCAACACCCCAACATCTAGCTGGATCTTCGCCAAAAAAAAACACAGAAGTCAAAAAAAACGAATGAAGTTTCAAACAATGCTCCCCTCTTTCTTGGCATATCCTTCCTTCCGCACCAGCACCAGAAGTGGGCGCCCGCACCAAAGAGGGACTGCGAGTAGAGCCGCAGCGAGGCATAGGCCAGCGCCACCTCTGCCAGTTCCGCCCAGGACAGAGCCTCCACCGCCTGAGGCCTGGTGCCGTGGCAGACATGGCTGGATTTTGTTGGGCAAAAGTTGGGGATTGAACTGATTGAGCTACGAAAATATGGAGAAGATTGGGGAAGATTGATGTTTTCCTTCACTGAAGGGTTCCAACTGCTAAGCAAAAACATGTGGAAAAGCGGGTCCACTGCGATTGTTTTGTTCGACTTTACAAAGGTCCAAGCTGCACGGCTGTTCCAGGCTCATCGCATGGGACCCCCGCCTGCATAGACCCAGGGTCGTTGCATTAAAGAGTCCCACGTCCCGCACCTGTGCAGAGTCCGGCATGGCATCACGGACTGGATTTGAGGTTACTTTTCAGTATCTCAATTGTCAAGAAAAACAGTTGGAAAACTTATTGACCAAGGTTATATATATTGAGCAGTAATTAGTTCGGGATGATGTTACGCAGGCTGTAACGGCCTATCGCAGGTGTTGGGCTCCTGTAAGTCCTGAAAATGTAAACCGTGGCCCTGAGATTCAACCAGCTGTTGCTGTGGGATGGCCTAGGTCAAAGTTTGACTCACGGCCGCCGAAGGGTGTGCATCCCAAGATTTCTTGTATCACCTGTCTTTATGCTTTGATATCCACATTTGCGAGTGGCTCATGTGATGGATTTCGAATCATCTTCCAACTATCTAGGACTATAGTATTGACCTGCGTCATTCCCACATGTTCCACACCCTCCACCCTTAACAACCACCGAGCCAGGACCATGTGCAGCCCCGTTTATCCTCCGAAAATCTCCCACAAATCATCCAAACTCTTGATGCATATAAAGATCTTAAATCTGTTTTAAACAGATTTGACAAAAATTCCCCGCGGAAAAAACAAACTCTTACAAAGAATCTCAAAAACTGCAAAAATACCAAAAATATATGCCATGCTTCATCCCCTTCCCACCCCCAATGGCCACCTGCAGCCCACTGAAGGCAATCGCCACCTGCGCAGTCTGCTGCGGGCTCAGCGGCTCGCGCACGATGCGACGCATGAAGAGCCTGGACAACGAGCGCAGCATCGGGGGATCCGCCACGGCCAGGGTCTGAAAGGCGCACCTCGGGAGCGGTTCAGGGGGGGTTGAACGGTGACAAATCGTGGTTTTCAGTCGCAAACGATGCAAACCTATGGGCCATATGGATTCGATCAGTGAAAAACCTTGAACCATAAATTTCCATATTTGAGAATTTGAGAGAGAGATTATATGCCCACTGCTGGCAAATAGCCAGAAGGCTACTGCGGCTAGTTGGAAGATCATACAACATACTAACTGACTTGTTGACGGCGCTCATTAACCAGATCATCCTCCAAGTATTGACATGCAAAATCCAAGTATCCCATCTACGAATTCCTGATTATGTATCAAACTTATCTAATGTGTTCCGTCTAATATATATATATATGTGTGTGTGTAACTATAATTGAAATTCTCAAAACAAAAACAAAAAATGCAGAAGCACAAAAAATCTCATTCACATAGAAAAACAAGTCCATTTCACCATCTTTAAACAAGTCGATTTATTTCACCTTTCCCAGCTGGGTCCCCCCGGCAACAGCTTCACCGCGGCGTCGTTGCTGAAGCGCCCACTATCCGAGGAGACGGTCAGAGACACGCTGCGTGTCACTGCATGCAGTAGCTCCTGGTCACTACGATTAGTTGGAAATTGCGGTACATCTCTCAGAATCTGAGATTGATAAACATATATTGATAGCATCTGCGACAAATATATATATATGTGTGTGTGTGTGTGCGTGTGTGAGAGAGAGAGAGAGTTGTGCGTGTGTATGTGTATGGATATGTGTATGTATATGTACGTGTATCTGTATATGTGTATGTATATGTATATGTGTATGTGTATGTGTATTGATGTACTTGGGATTTATATAATCGTGATCAAAACTTGAAGTCATTTTTGTTGGGGTTGAATATTGGAAATGATTGAAAATTGGGATCAAACATCGGAAACATTTGGGATTCAAACAACAGAATAACATGGCGACTTTGAAGGACAAGTGGACCAGAGCGTGGGTGTAACCAATGAAAATAGGAATATAGCCATCAATACAGTGGGGAGAAGACCAACGAGAAACTTAAGATTGCTGATTCAGGTGATTGGATTGTGAATGAACAACTTCTGACTGGCATACATCGTGGTTTACGCTGTGCTGTCCAAAGTGAGGCTGTCCTTTCCAAACACTTTCAGCACCATCCCGGGTTTTTGGGCTTTACCCTCTGGTAACCAAACATGGCAATGGAAATCCTACAGCTTTTTTTATGCGTTCCCCTTTGAAGCCTGCATTAGGAGATCTATGGAGATGTACCACATTTCACATTGCCATGACCGAAAGCGAAGTCGTAACTTTCCCAGTTCACTGTCCTCATGCTGGTACTGTAACCGAGCGAAGGCCTGGCCAGAGCCATGCCTACCCTTGTGGCTAGTTCCTCCATGGACACGGCCTGGTCACATCTAGGCCTTCCATCCTCAAGGCGTCGACAGCGTTTTCAAGATGTCAACATGCGGTCCATGAGCGCCCCCGGTTTTGCTAATGACGCCATTCACCCTAGTTATCCCTTGTCAGGGTGGTTTGGTCCTCAGTTTTTAGAGCTACTCTAGCTACTAAACGTTACTAAACCCTCTTGGTTCCTTCAATCCACCATTTTCCCAGGGCAAATCCCCATGCTTGGCCCATCTACCTCCAGAATCTGCCCCATCTGCAGCGCGCTAAAGGAGCCGATTTCTTCGGCGGCATGCGCGGCGAAGAGTTGAAGGCCTGGTGGGATGTCCGTGTTCAACAAGGGCGGGAAACATGTTCCAAAACTGGAAAGTGCGTTCTATATATAAGGTATGTATAGGTAGAGAGATGCAAAGAGAGAGAGAGAGAAGGAAAATAAAAGAAATTAATAGTTAGATTACATTTGGTTTAATTTAGAGTAGATTAGACTAACAAATGGATTATGATATACTGATATACTTACAACTTGCAAGATCGCATTTATCTGCAGATATTTATGTACTGTACGGGATTCTGCTGAAAATCCGTGGGAATTCGATTGAACGGATTGCGTTTCCCAATGAAAAGACATTCGGAAAGCAGAGGTTCAGCCAAGTGATGGAGGTCTGGTAGGCTTTCCCTTCAACCAATTCCAGGATCTGTTGTAAACCAGTGAGAAACCCAGTGATTACAGAGATTTTCCCCAGTGGCTTCTCACAAGGATGATCTTTGTAGAGGTCCGTTTTACCCTCCAAATAGTGGCAGCATGGCCAGCCATCACTCCGAACCCCCCTTCACGGCCGCCTTGAGTGGCTTTGCTGTCCTGTTTCCAGGGTAGTTTCGCATCCGCAAGGGCCGTCAAGATCTGCGCCGCTGGGAGTGGGACCTGCAAAACACCTGCTCCTGGTACTATGCCCGATTTTATGCGTTTGTTATGATTGGCAAATTGCTTCGAACCCAATTTCTCGTGGTGAGAACCTATTTTTGGTCACGTCAGTCATGTCTCCCATTTTCAGTGATGGGGCGCTCCAGAAATCCAACAATGGGACAACCCAAGCTAGGGGTTGGTTGTGCTCATTTCACCATTTCTGTTGGTTGACCTTCTATTTGTTACAGTATAAAAATGCAAATTGCCGATTTCTTGCTTGATTACTATCATATAAAAAAAACACGTGAAATCTCTATTTCATTTTGATCAAACTCAACTGTTGGTGAATCATGGTTCCCCACCCCCTTCTTCCAGTAGGTGGCACCTCACAAGTCTCCTGCAAATGGAGCAGTGACGAGAGTGTGCCAGGCAATTCTTAAGGTAACAACTTCAACTGTGCATCGAAACCTGCCCATTTGGGCACCTTCAGAGATTGAAACCCTGCAGCTTAGAACCTTGCCACAATGACAAACTGCATCTGCAGGGCTCCCAAGTGTTTCCCAAACCCTGACCTCGGGTCTCAGGAAGTTAGCAAGTTGACCGGCCCGATAGGCTGCCTAGAAGGGAGATCAGCCGAGGGTGGGGTGCAGCATGACCCATCTCCAGCGTTGGAAGGTAAGCTGAGTACTTGATTCACATTGTCAATATTGTCAATGTCCACATTTGGCTACGGCTATGGATCAAAACCCTAGTAAACTGGTGAGCAGCAAAATAGCTGGCAAATGGATGTCCATACCACCACATATATGATATGTATATGTATATGTATATGTATATGTATATGTATATGTATATGTATATGTATATGTATATGTATATGTATATGTGTATGTGTATGTATGTATGTATGTATGTATGTATGTATGTATGTATGTATGTATGTATGTATGTATGTATGTATGTATGTATGTCTGTGTGTGTGTATGTATGTATGTATGTATGTATGTATGTATGTATGTATGTATGTATGTGTGTGTATATCTGTGTGTGCGTGTGCGTATGTATGTATATGTATGTATATATGTAGATATAGGCTTTGATTCATCCACATTTCTATGTTGGACTCTTGAAGGATCAATCTTCCACCGAAGTCTCCCATTCCAAATAGCGCCATGTCAAGCTCAATCCATCCCCCAGAACCTTCCACCAAAAGGTCGTCGGGGTCTTGCCACGCGTCAGGTAACCAGGCTTCAAGGCTTTGCGGAGAGTCCGGACCAAAGCCGAACAGCCTTGGGCATCCACAGGGTCGCCAAGGTGACCACGCTGTCGTTGGATCTCCTTCGTTTGACTTTGAACGGAGAGAAAAATTGAAGACCCAAAAGGTGGCAGCGCCCTCGCATAGCATCCTTTAGTAACTTTAGTATAGTATATATATCGGTATATGTAAAAATGTTGCGCTTTCCTATGTTGGTGACCTGCATCAAGACTTGGGACAGCCCGGTCTCCAGCCATCCCTTGCGTGGACTTGCGCAAGGCGTGGATGGAACGTCATTCACCGGCAACCAGCGCTGCCGCACCAGCGCTGAGCTGCTACGACACCAGCGGTTAGCAGAGCGCGGAGGAAAGCCCCGGAGCATCGAGCCATGGGGCCATGGGGGCCGCGTGACGCCGCGTGGCCAGTGGAAGTTGAAAATCGCAAGGCACCCACAAAAAGGAAGCCCCGTAGATAGGTAAGTTATGGTAAGTTGTAACTAGGCTAACTGATGTATCTATGGTGAGATGGGGGTCTTATTCGCCAATTTATAACGAGGGGGCTCCTTGCTGCATTCTTGCGGGGTTGAAAGGGGCTAGAATATGAGATTTGTCAATCCGTTGGGCTGGACTGGAAAGACTATGAGCTCTATAGAGTCCCTCACGCTTGCCGCGCATTCAGCTATTAGCACTCACAGCTTGTGCAATGTCAAACAGTGCTGGTCTTGTGGCTAAGAGTAACTCAAGCGATTTGATAACAGTTTCAGTTGCGGCAAAAACCTTGGCACAATTTTTCCTGACCCCATGCCCCCAGAATCCCCCAGGCATCCGCAACATGAAACCACAGCACTGGTGGTCTCGTGCAACCACTTTTTTAAATGCCCGCTGCCAGGCAGTTTCTAGGAGCAATGCGTTGTGCTCCGCGGCCTGCGAACAAACAGCACGCAACAGTAATTGCTCGTTTTCTGAGTGCCTGCACAAAAGTTGGCCTTGCACCATCCCCCAAGGCCTGAGTACGGCCCCTGGACGGGGTCAAAGCCTGAGCGAAACTGGACCCTCCCCCGATATCCACTGCTGAATATAGCTTGCCCTCCCAAACATGCAACCACAAACACACCATGCAAGTGCTGCCAAACAAAAAATATCAAGGATGATTACCCTCAAACCATCCATAACTCATCCGTTTTTTTTAAAGAACATATCATAATTCCTCACGATCCTTCGGCATTTTCTTCCACAAGGTGTTGGAAAAACAGCCTCAGGCAAGCAGCCCAGATGTTCCGTCGCTGCCGATCACGGGTCATCACCTTCGTGTGAGTCTGTGTCCACTTCTTCATCATCCTGCGGCTGATCCCAGAAAAGGGGACCCACCAATTCACCAATTTGCCAAGTACTATCCCAAATCCCAAAGAGGCTGGCTGCAAAGACAGAATTCGACATCAAGGCAAGGAAGAAGCGAGACAAGAATAAAAAGCAGAAGGGACGCATCCAACACTGAGGCTGTTGGAGTTGGATTGTTTTCCTTGTGCCCAGCTAAAACGCTTGCACCCTGCACGCGCCCACCCAAACTACTATATAACTCAACTCACGTTTTTTTTGCCAAAAGAACTCTTTTCTGGTTTTAACCGTTCTCATCCGAACCAAATATAGTATCAACCAAAAAAAATACCTTTTTTCCACCAACAACCGGTATGAAGAGCCAACTTAATGGCACCATCATTGCAGTCAAACAATTCCCTCCAAGAAATCATCAAAATGATCCCACCCCAAATCAGACAAAAAATCAAGAGATCTGGAGAAGTATCCAAATCATAAATTACCCTCCGGTAAACTAACATAGCTGTTGAAAATGACCCATTTATAGTTGATTTACCTATTAAAAATGGTGATTTACCATAGTTATGTTAGTTTACCGGAGGCTATCATTTGTAATTAATCCTGAATGATCCCAAAACATTCCCCAAAAATTAAAAAATCCTTCACTGCAAAACACAATATCACACATATTCTCAATTACAATATATTGGCAAGTTATCAATGGAAAAAATTACCCACCTGAATTTGCCAAGATAACTATCCAAAGCGATTATTCCCAATATTCATCCATATTCCATAATTGATGATGGTTGGAAAATGAGATCCCCAATATCTGAAAATTGGGTACGGTATATCCATAATCATTGCAGTCAAAGCAAAGGAAAGATGATCATAAACCATCAAATTTAGGTGCCTTCCCCTAAATTGTCAGGCAAATCCAACTATTCTTCAGCTTGGTTGGTTATATCCAGATTGATATCCCCATGCATTCCTAATAATCCCAGATTGTTGATGGTGGATCATGGTGGATCCCCACAAAAAAAAATGATATCTCATTAAATCTCCCTGTTAAAAATTCCGTTAAAATCCTATTGAATCCCATGAAATCGCCATTGAAATTCCTATTAAATCCCATGGAAGTCCCATTATATGAGATCCTGTCTGTTACTGTAATTCCCATGAAAATCCAATTGAAATCCCATGAGAAACCCTATTGAAATCCCATTAAAATCCCATGAAAAAATGGGAAAAACTCCCACTTTTTCGCCTCGCCTCGAAGTCCAAATCCTCCTCGGCTTCGCTGGCGCTCTCCGTGGCCTCTGCGGCTCGCTGCGCCTCGCGCTCACGGATGCGGGCATCGCCTCAGCTTGTGGCTATGGCTATAGTTCATCATATCATCATATCCTCTGGTTATGTCAAACATAGCTATTGAAAATGGCCATTTATAGTGGATTTACCCATGAAAAATGGTGATTTTCCATAGTTATGTTAGTTTACCAGAGGGTATCTGATGTGTTCATGTGTTTGATTTTGCTGATCTATTCAGATGTTTGATTGCTTAATCATTTGTAGAGCTAGACATGTTTGACATTATGATCGATTCTACACTTATGTGTATATGTGGGTATGTGTGTGTGTGTGATTAAATGAATGATACGCGCCGAAATATGGTGACCCCAAAGATAGGCCAGATAACATCAGATAACTATGCAATAACTTGATTGCAAGAGTGGTGAACCATAGCAAAATGGTGGTTTTTGCCGCAGTTCGATCGGGACGGCTTTTTCCGCAATATCGGGCATGAAACCTTTGGATATCAACCGGTAAGTGTTTTAACCAACGAACAAATGGTGTCATCCCAAATGCAAGTGGGCCGATAATGGATAATAATAACATATAATAACTGTAAATAACTGGGAAATTTGTTCGCCGCATGGCGTAGTCCAAACCTGGAAGAGCTGAGTCGGGCACGTTCGGCGCGTTCCTTCTTCAGTTCCTCCTTTCGTTTTTCCTCCGCCTTCGTGACACCATGGCGTCGTGAAATGATGCACCTGGGTATGAAGCTCACAGATTGCCTTTTTACTTTGAGGAAGTCAAATCCCATTCCCTTAATATGACAAATCCCCTCACATCACACATGAAATCACATGAACTCCCAAAAATGAATAGATCCAACACCAAACCAGGGTTTCTCGCCACAGCAGCGCCAGGCCTCCTTCTTTCTGGCCAGTTCCTCCAATGCTTCGGGTGTGGCGGCATAGCCCACGATGATGGATTCCTTGAGCCAAGATGTAGGAAACAAGCTGGCTGGCCCACTAAGCAAAAGTGAGCTTTTCAACACTTTGGCCTGGTTTAAATTCAGAAAACCTTTTTCTACTCCCAACTGGTGGAGGTCCCACACCAGTTTCGCTCTTTAACACGGAGTCTCAGCACCAGCATCGGATCCCAAGACCATCTGTCATCGTCCAAACTATGACAAATCCCAAATGTAGTTGACTAGTGGCCACATTTCGCTCCCACCGTCCAAGTGACTTCTCTCAGCACGCCGGTGCCAATGGTCATGCGGGCATAGCCATCCTGGAAGCTTTGAGTTTGGAACCGACACTACATTCACTACATCCCGAAAAAAACGTGCGACGCAGCGGCACATGTACGGCGTTATCCAGACATGTCATTTCATTTCACTTTGGTTTTGACTGTCAAGCAATGAGGAAAGACCAAGGCCAGCACTTCTCCCCAACCTTTGCCCCAAGAGTTCTTCACCTCAGTGAGCAGAATTGACAGCCCATGCCTTCCAAGTATCCCTTGGAATCTCCACTATCTTTTATCCTCTATGGCATTATGGAGCCCATGGTTAACAGCATCGAATGCTTTAATCTGAGTTCCCCTGCCAGCCAGTAGGGTGTCCCCTCGGACCGTCCCCAGCCCATAATGGTCACTGCTGTGAGCAGCGGTTCGCCGTTGGCGCCATACTGCTGGTTGGCATTGTCCGTGGGGGTGTAGACGCCACTCCTAGGGAAAACCACTGAAGTTCCTGGCGTGTCCTTTCGAAATAATGGGATCCAGCATCTGTTTTGGCTCCATGTTGAGTTTAAATTACCAAGTATACAGTGCGTATGCATACATATATATATATATATATACATATATGTATGTGTGTGTATATATGTATATACACATTTCTTAGATGTCGTCCCTGGAAGAGAAAGTGAAAGTCCTGATGCATCCGGGAATTAATTTCTTTTTTGCCTAAAGATGGACATGTGTGAAATTCTCATCAATCTATACCCAGCCGTATGATGCTGCGAGGAATCATGAGGTCGTACCTTTAGCCCCCTCAAACAAAGATCATGATCATCAAATCATAGTTGAAGGCATCATCCACCCATCATCATCCCCGGACATCCAAATGGATTGGGCAAATCCAAGGCTCTTGTAGACCATAAAGTCATCCTTCAAGAGAACAGGTGCAACCACTGGGCCTCAAACCCACGGGACAAGAACATCATCTCCGCTTGCCGTCAGAAAGCCAGGATAGTGATCAAATCAAGCAGCTTCGATATGTCATGATGTGTCATATTGTAAATTTATACATGTACAGTGTATGTGCGTGTGTGTGTGTGTGAGTGTATATATATATATATGTGTGTGTGTGTGGGTGTGTGACGTGTGTGTGTGCATATGTATATATATATATATACATCCAAGATATATATATAATAGATGTATATTCTGGTCAGAATAGTGAAAGGACTGGCAACTGTTCCTCATGTAACACATCTTCTCTAAAAAATAGAGTAACGATCCGAATCCGCCAAACCATCCAATAAATGTACATTCATAATAATTGTCTTCCAAGTGATTGGTGGTTCCCACCATAGCCCAATGAGCCTCGGTTGAAGATCTCGCGCCTTCGAAACACAGCTGGGTTCCAAGTGGAAATGGAGATTGGCCAAGCATAAAATTGGCGGCTTTGGCCAGGAAACAATGTGGATTCCACTGGCACATGAGTTGAACACAGCAAAATTGCTGGGATTTATGGATGCTCATAGCCCCAAAATATGGCATCTCCATATAAGCAACATAAGTTTCCAATGGTCAATTGCATGGAGGATCATCGCGTTGACTTTTTTCAGTCAGCTGAGCCACTTGATCCTCTTCTCGCCACTCAAAAGGCAGTGATCAAGGGAATAGAGCCTGGGCGGATGGTCTGATAACCCATTCGTAAGCACGAATGGGGCTGAGGGTGATTGTTTATCCCATAAAACCAGCAGGTTTTGTTGCATTTTTGGGTGGTTAAAATCCCAAAAATGCCATCATGTTTTGTCATTGTATGCCCCAACCATTGAGGGTGAAATCCCATGATTGAAATCCCATTTAAAATCCCAAAATTCCATGAAATCCTCGAAAAAGGCCATAAAACCTATCCCATTCCCAGTGACATGTCACTAACATCCCATTGAAATCGCATCAAAATCCCATCAAACTCCACCAAGCTACTTCTTGGCCGCATCACAGGAGGACTCGCATTTGGCCTCCTTGGCACCCGCGAAGGGCACGCAGGACCTCATCGACGTGGCGGAGCCATGAACTCCTATAAATTAATTATATAATTGTATAATTATATAATTAATGATTATATACAGATGATTTTATACAGATGATATATTTATAGATGTATATCCCCAAGACTGACGTCAACATGCTTGAGCACGCTTTTACCCCCATAAGAGTCGGGGCCCGCAGAGGGATACAAAAACTTTTCCAGGATGTCATAGTAGAAAAGTAACAATTCAACCACATAAATTCGATGTTCCTCACTGTTCTACAGTTCCACCTAGTTGGGAGCTGTCAAAAAAATCACATTACCCTCCCAAAAAGAATAAAACAACACATTCACCTATAGATCCACAAAACAATGATCCCTATCATGATTGGTTAAAATTCCATAACCAACAATCACCATTAGTAAGCATTAAGTATTAAAATCCCACTACCATCTGGTTATTTAACATAGCCATGGAAAATCCCCAAAATAAATGGAGCTTTCTAGCTGGGAAAATCATCTATTTCTATGGGCCATGGCTTAACCATATGGCTGTGTGAGTCATAATCAGATGGTAATAACCGGTAATAACCATCAAATCACCATTTATAGTGGTTAAATGCCATTAAATCACCATTTATAGTGGTTAAATCCCACTAATAACCACTAATCACCATCACCATGGTCACCAGGTCACCATGATTCATGGCTAACTCCCCCCTCCATTTCCAGTCCCAGATGTCCAAGCGGCTCAGGAAACAAGCCCCGGCGCTTGAGGTAACTCCAGACCGAGTCGATGCCGCCCCCGCCGCAGCCCTGACCTTGACCCAAAGATTTCGGGTGGAAAATGGCACCAAGATGGTGCCGTGAAATATGTGAAATCACATGTTGATGATCAATATATCACATATATATATATATATCATGAGGGGGAGAGGAGAGGAAAAAAAAAAATGATGAATTTAATGGCAAAAATTAGAAGTAGCCTGAACTTTGAATAGATCAGAATAGGGAAGAGCCAATGAAAATAAGATCTAGTAATCAAACGTCCCATCGAACTAAATGGTGTGCCCAATATTTTCATATGATGGTGCATGTAACCAACTATAATACAATTTGGGTATGACTGAAAAATGTGTACACCACGACTATATTGCAATAATACTTGGAAGAGTGGGGATAACTGGGATATGGAAACCGTGTATATAATTCGATTTCCCCAACATTTCGCTAAAAAGGACTCCCACTATGGACCACCAAAATGAACAGATTTAATACTAAACCTTGAGCTCGTTTGGGAACATATTTTCTACTATTCAAGGGAAAGGATTACTTAAACTGTTCTAATGTGGTGCCGTTTGGTAATCAAATATTGCTGGACAATAACCAATGCTATAGATAATTTCATGGGTAGATACCTTCGCACACCATCTTTGAAGTGAACATTTCTTAAAGAAAGAATATATATATATTATATCCAAAGCACTTAAACTGCGCTACTGCTGTTGGGTCTCTGCAGGGAAGGACTCAATGAAAAGTTTATCAGATGGGTTTGTCTGAAAATAGGGTATACCCCCAATTATAGCCATTTAGTAGGGATAATGATCAGCAAAACCATTGGGTGTAGGGGTACACTATTTTCAGACAAACCCAGATATGATGGTAAACAGGGCGTTTAATGGTGATGTGGTAAAGCCAACCCACCCATTTATGGTCAGCCGGCGATGGCCTAAGGTCCCCGGCTTTTCTTGTCACAGGAGATCACTTGCTGAGGCGATAAACGCGTCCTGGGGAAAGCTTCTTGGATACATCCGCAATGAATAAATATATAGTGAATATGGAATATATAGTGATATTAGTGAATATAATATTTGTGAATATCACTGAAGTAAAATCAGCCGCCATTTCCACCAACTTCAACGAATCAAAGGACATCCATCCGCCATTGCGCACGAGGGACTCTGCATAAGTCTCTGGATCACTGAAGCAAAATCGGGAGGATAGCGCGGTGGCTGCCGCGATGGCATAGCCTCAAGCCGCAGGACCATGTCATTTTCGCAAAAAAGAAACGGGGGCACCCCCTTGAAAAGTATCCGGCTTAGAGACTTGTCAGTTGAGATCATTATCCCGTTTGTACGGCTGAAAAGAAATAAAAATATGAAAGAATACCAATTTGTTCGCCCATCTATCTAGCATTTACATTGTCAGACATGAATATAAATAAATAAATAAATAAATAAATAAATAATAAACATAAATATAAATATAGATAAACAAAGTAATATACAGTACCCAACAAAGATAAAGAAAACGATAACCACCTCCGCAAAGGAAGAAACTAGAAAAGTAAAATCCTTCTGAAATAATGGTAAAATGACATGTTCTATCTTTCTGTCTTTCTGATGGTTAATGTGGTAGACCCAAGGATATCCAAACTATCCCAAATACTGTATTACAATAAATGGGTGGAATAATCATCCCAACTGGGAGTTGTTTATGTCATTGGGTGTGCCACATTGGGAGACATGAAGTCTTAACGTAATTCATCCAGTTTACTATTCCCGCTATATCCCCATTATATCACCATGTTTGATGGTTAAATCCTTATTCTTGCTGGTTAAGAACCCATTCTGATTGGTCATTCCACCAGTTCACAATCTTATTCCCCATAATATACATATATATATAACACCATCGAAACTCCATCATGACTATAACCTCATCATATAATCATCTGATTCTCCATCCCAGCCCCCCCAGCGCCAGCGCCAGCTGTCCAGCGGCTGGAGGAGCAGTTCTGCTGGTCGTAGACCTCGCCGGCCTCGCAGCCGGGCTTCTGCTGCCGCAGGTCGTAGGCCGGCGGCACGGCGCCGCTCTCGAGGCCTTCGGCTTCGTCCTGGCGGGCCTGAAGTCCTTCGGATTTTATACAGATATAACTATATATGTATATATATATATAGATAGATATAAACATATATATATATCATACATATATATATGTGCGTGTGTAAATATATATATATAATTATATGTAAATATATAACTGTATACATATATATATACATATAAGTTATAGAAGTTTTAGAAGTGATGTAAGTTCTATAGCAGTTGAAGCCGATGATTCTGAAGATGAAATAAAAAGGATCCGGAGGATGAAATATTGTTGGTTTTCGGTGTCTATTTCTGCTTTTGATCCTGATGAATTCGTGTCAGCAAACTTCAAAGATCATTTCTTGCTGGTTGAATCAAGGCATGTTTGACGACGACGACCCCCCATTTTTGTGATGGTTAACATCCTATTTTTTGTGTTCCAACCCATTTTTTCCGGTTCAAACCCAATGATTCTGCAGTTCAAATCTTCATAAACTATCATAAAACGTTCCCAGATTTTGCCGGTGACGTGGCACTTTTCCTGACATCGTTGCAAGGCCCCTGCGAAGCCGATCATGCCCTCGCCCTTGATGCTGACACCATCAAGACCATAGCTCACCTTACGGCAGCCGCGGGATTATCTGAAGATATTTCTATTGGGATTTCATAATGAGAAGTCTTTTGCATGGGGTTGTTTAAATGGGATTTACTGGATTTAATGGATTATCTGTACTGTTTTAATGGGATTTAATGAGAAATGAGAACTCCATAGATAATGGGAAATAGATCATAGATAATTCCCATTCTATTCGCAATGGGCCAAGGGGATATCTATAGCTATCAATTAGCTAGTGATAATGGGATATATTCTGGCTGAATTGCTTGCGAATTCACTAACCTGAAAATAGTTGTTGCTAGTTCGGCCATTTGGGGGTGATTCCCCGATTCCTATTCATCATTCCACTGACTTCGCTGTGAGGTTACTATCATTTATCCAGAATTAAAATCGTTTGGCTTATTAAAGGCAAATCTTGACCACCCATAACCCATAACCATGATTTTAAGGGCGAATCTTTACCACAAATTTATACCGCCCTTGCATTTCCTTGATGGAGCGAGGGGTGGATATGAATGGATACTCCATTCCATAATTCTCCCGTCAAGATAGCTACAAGTGGGGGGTCAATCCTCCCATTGTCAGACACACTCAGATTAAATTAGTTGGTTCTACATTCCCTGAAATATCCCTAGTTATAAAATTAATATCCCACTAAATCTCCCGCTTGTAGTTACATCCCACATTTCACACATTTCTTGGACACCCTGAGCGGCGCACATCTGCATAGGACCAACCATTGAAGAATGGGCTGGCCGCCTTGGCCCAAGCTTACGCACGTGCAGCTGCCGATTAACTAGCCAACACCTATGAGAATGCAGAATGCTTGCTTTTCAACCACTAAAGTCACTAAACATGCAGGACTAAAGGAAGAAATCTAAGGATGAATTGAACCACCATTGCAAACATTTGCAAACCCTTCATGCCCTGAATTTGCGGATTAGAAACCAAACGCTGACAAGGTGCTGCTGTGAAATTCCCTGCTGAGTAAGAGGTAACGTCGCTGACAAAGTAGCGGTCGTTCACTGATGCGGTCGCTTTCGCTCGGTAGGTGTCCCTGCTTTTTTTCTTACCTGGCCGTGGGCACAAGGCGCCAGTAGCCAAGCGCGTGTTTGCAGGTCAACTTGGTCATGACATCCTCTACATGTTTATTTCACGGGATTATATAAAATCATGGGCAGCAACATCAGGAACCCCCCACAGGTAACCATCGTCACCCCCACCTCCACCATCTGTGGCTGCTAGCCACACTGCGGCGATGGTCGCAAAAACGCCAAGACCGTAGACAAGGTACTTCCTCGTGAATTTGCTGCGGTTTGGTGAAGGGGAACCATGGGGAACCTTACATTTTCGTCAACGCGAGGTAGACTTTGCCAACCACAATCCACCTGTTCCATGGATCAGAAGGCCTGCTGAGCGAAGGCGTTGTAAGCAAAAAAAAATGCAAACTGTTAAAAACAAATGTGGTGTAGAGCATTGTCACTGCCCTTTTGACTTGTACATCCCCATGTTCCAGCACACGTACATGCATGGCCCTTGGCAAGTTTTACCTGACCCTACTAAGTGCCAGCAACCATTACGCTGAAAACTGTCCACCAGACATCCATCAGTCAATATCAATCAAGTAGCCACTGTCCCTTTCCCAGCACACAACTACGAACTATTTGTCTCGATTTATCATGAACCAACCATTCACGGTTGAATTTAACAAAAAATTAACCGGGATATTGGTCGTGCACAATATGCAATTCGCCGAATGCTACTTTTTGAAAACTAACTACGCCCTCCTGCCAAATGCCACAATCGAACCATTTATGCCACTTTTTGTTCACCCACCCATCACTTTCATACAGCATATCCATCCTTTAACTCGGAAATTCAAATTTTGGTTGGCGAACCAAAAATCGTCATTCATCATTTTTCAAAATTTTCATACAAATTATTCATTTTTGGTAAGACAATGTTTCTCCCCATGTCTATTGCCCAATATCTAATTTTTCATTGGCAACGCCATATACGATGCATTACGTAAACCAAAGTGTTTGGGTCAAGCCACTTGAAATCTTTCATCGGTTTTTTCCCCTTGGCTCTTCGGTTCATGGCCGCAGCCGCTTCGGCAGCGGGATCCTTCTTGGCGGCCATGCCTCGAGCGCCGCGCAAGGATTTTTAGGATTAAGTAACTAGAGTAACCGCTATATAACCAAAAATGTGGATGTTGTGTATTGTTTGTTTGGGTTGATTCAAACATTTGGCACAACATTTTCAAAGATTCAATGATACCAACCCACCAAATTCAATAAATCCGAAATTCATCTTCATCACACGAGCACTGGGCTGCAAAAGTCATGACGGTTTTCTTCACCTGGTTTGTATTAAACCTATTGCATGAGCGCGGGACACCATGTATCACGCAAGATGCTGCACGATGCTGCGTTTGTTTGCACGGCCGTTGCCATCAATAGTGTGCAATTCTCCCATTGTTGGTTGTTGAAAGCCTTGTCACGATTCGCTCGTGGCAATGCCACATGGTTTACGGTTTTTTCTCACCCATTAACCAACCCCTAAACCAAACCCAAGAAAACGTCTAAATGACTCGTTAGGTGGCAGGACCCCTCCACACACTGAGCCTCCCTGCTTTGCGGGCCGTGTCCCCAGTGCCGGGTGTGGAGGGTCAAGGTTGGAACCACCCTTCAAAAACACCACGCGAAATGGCAGCAGAAAGGAAATCAGTATATTTTTTCGTGTTAAACATTCTTTCACACCACATTTTAGCAAATTGAAATCGATTCAAAGGTGCAGTAAATGAATCATCACCATGAAGCGCGACACATAACACACGCAAAAAATAATAATATGCGACCAAAATGCATACCCCGGAAGAAATGCATTTACGAAACATTAAACGATGCGCGTATAAAAATTTTGACATGGTTATATACCCCAATTCCGCCGCCAACTCAAGTTGAACATGGTGCTCAGTCAAAGTTGCAAAAAAAAACATTGCAAACATTTCCTGAAATTCTTCATCAAAGTACCAACAGCAAGGTTTGGTGTATGCGATCATTTTCCCATGCCACCCATGCAGGCGACGAGAAAACAAAATCCAACAAGAACAGTTAAAAATGAATTTCGTCAAACAAACAACATCAAAAATTGATCCCTAATTGTTTCAAATTTGCGTTCCTATTTAGAAGGATGAATATGTATATATATGTGTGTGTGTGTATCTATCAATACCCATGTCAATATTGTAAAAAGTTAATGCGGAAATAGAAACAAAAATTGAAAAATATATAAACAAGGTTTTGCAATTGATTTGGGGTCTCTGCAGATGGATTTTTTGGTTTTTCCAAATACCTTATGTATGGTGGAATTGAGTTGCATTAAAGGTACCTTATAATTTCCCCTATGAGGTATCCAATTGGTTGATTAAATGGGTATCATCTTCCCATTGGTTCTTTAATGTATCTATTTGTTTCCTGCCATGTTCATGGATAATCATATGTATATTATTATTTTCACTCTTAGGCAACCAATTGCTTGATTAAACTGGTATCATCCCAGTATCGATTACGATTATTTTTTCTATCATATCCTTTGGATAAACAAAGGTCCACGACCATTTCCCTTAAAGGGTACCCAACCACTTGCTGATTAAAATGGAATAGGCGTCATCCCTTTTTAGGGTATGTTTTATTTACTTTTTTCAACCACGCTCACGTTTCTTCTAAGGTGGTGCCCCCATACCTTTTGGTAAAAAACCACCAATATTATCCCTTATGATCACTCTTTTATTGCAGTACTAAATTTCCCCCATTATTTCTACGTCTACACCATATATCCCGTAATTGCTATGTCCAATAATGAATTTTGCCGAACTCAGGGTGCAGAAATCTTCACCTTGACTTAGGATTTAGGCAAAAAAAAATGACGATATCCTAGGTGCTTGGCGGGGTATTGCCTAAGTCAAGGTGCAGATTTCTGCACCTAGACTTCGGCAATAACGAGATGGCACCCCGGCATTTAGGGAAAAAAATTGCCGATATCAGGGTGCAGAAGTTTGCATGTGGGCTTAGGAACCAGCCTTACTATTATATTTTACCATGATTTTGCCCGCAATGGATTCGGGGTCCTGATTTTCAAATTTCGGCAAAAAAAAATGCCGATCTTTTGGCTCGGGGGACTCCAAATCCATCGCCGCCGCAAATCCGTCGCGTAACAATATTTTGTTTTATTTTTTTTTGTAAGCACTCAACCAAAAAAAATCGAATTGGTGATCGTTTGTTCTGACTGGTACTTCCACAAGTAAACGGGTAAATGGATGGAGAGGCTAATTATCTAGCGAATGAAAAATCTCAATAGTATATACCAAGGCCACATACTTTGATAGATAAGATAAATAAGGAAACAAATGTTGGAAAACATATATCACACAATCAAAGGTAGAACTAAATCACCAAGGACCTTGGAATCAAATTCCAAAGACCCCTTATCGGCTGCAAATCCTTAAGCGGAAAATTTGATGCAAATAAAGTAATAACAACATATATCAATATGAATATAGGTACTTTAAAGAAAAACATTGCAATAACCACAATTACGGATAAATAAATATTACCATGACTATCAATACAACTACTAGGATTAAAATAAACCAAAAAAAAATATACATTTAAAAAAAAAAAATGTTACTTCATTTTTTAATAAAAAATATATGCAGACATGTAAAAATAAACATCTAATTTTGAGAAGTCGGGCGGCGTCGCCGTCGCGAAATCGTATATTTGGAACTATGTATGAAAATTTGATGAAACGCCGTTCCGCCAAAAAAAAATGTTTCGGAAAACTATTTCTCGAGCAAAAGCGAGAAGTTGTTTTTACGGACCACACCCTAGCTCACCCCCTTAAGTGCAGGGATGGGGTCCCCCCGCAATGCGTACCAAAAATGAAGTGCATAGGCACCAGTATCGATGGATATCACTAAAGATAAGATGAACCCAAATAAACAATGATGCTTACGTGCAACTTTTGTTTCAGAAAGCAAGCGCCTCAGATATGAGCAGATACTACACCTGCTATGTCACATGGCTGAGTGCTCCACAACGCAAATTGAATGTACTGCTGACAGCGTTAACATGAAGCACCCCGCCTTGCTGCACACTTTAGTAGGCAGCACAAAGTTGAAATTGTAAATCCCTAAGGGAGATTTTGAATTCTGAGGTGTCTGGATATTGACGCAGGGACGCAGTTTGTAGCGTGCCTCTACATGTCTGACTTCTTAGAAGTCTTTCCCAGATTCACCTTTTGAAACTCGTATGCTATCTGGCTATGTTGCTTCGTCTTCCTCCATCTGCTCAGATTCAGAAGTTTCTCCACTGCCATGATGCATAACCATCCAGGCCTCTGGATCACTGACTTCGCAAAGTTCAGAATTTCCATATCTGAAGGCTCTCTGTGATTCTGTCTCCATCATCTCGTCTGAATCTTCATCCTCGCTTTCTCCAGCTTCATCCATTAGGGGATTGTCAATGTTTTCCATCAAAGCACGTGCAATTGAATCCACATGAGAACTGCCTGAAGTCGCAGGTGCGTCTTGTTCCATTGCAACTGCGTCAGAAAGTCTTTGACCCACTTCCACTGCATGTTCGGCCTCATCCATGGTGTTGCACAACTGCATCCAGCTCTGGCCATAGTTCGAAGACTCCTCATCACTTGAAAGATCTGTCATGTTTCTGGCCATGACAGCTGCTGACAGTCTAGTTGACTGGCCTCCAGACTTACCAGCATTCATCACGCTGCAAAGCAATTGAAGTCGCTCCTCATACAGTTGCTGTCGTTCCAACGTGACTGCTGTAGATCTTCTGCGCAAACACCTTGAATAAATGAAAGTTAACATTGCCTCAGGGTTCCATGCAGCATGAGGTTCAGGGAGGTCGTTTTCATCTCTCAACACAGGCATCTCAATTGGATCTGTTCCAGCTGAACCGCTGGGAATGTTCGTGCTCGAGCTAGCCACATTGCTTGCAGGAAACTCGCTGTTGGCAGCGATGATTGCGGCACTAATGTGGGACATTCTGATTGACCCATCTTCGTCATTTTCGATTTCATTTGTTGTGGGTTCATCCAAAACAGCATCTTCTGGAAGATTTTCTGCAACCCTTGCAAACCAACTGAAAAACCAAATCATTCCAACTCCAACGCGCAAGGTGAAAGCAAAAGGAGCAGGCTCAAGGCGCCAGCAAGGGCTCTGTGGTTGACCCTTCGAACAAAAACTCATCCTGGATCATCGGCTCCTTCCAAACATCCATTTGATCTGTTGTACAAACCAAGCAAACTCATCAAAGATTTCATTTTCGGGGCAGCTAAACGTTTCGTTCCAATGTCAGCGGGATTTGAATGGCCGCTGATGCTGCATAATTTCAGCGCTCCATTCCCAACCATATCCTGCAACCACAAGATGCGGCAACTCAAGTGCCTCAAACGTCCAGCTGCCCTTCGATTCAAGATTCCTTTGGTACCACTGCTGTCAGTGTAGATCTAAATATGGGTTCTTTTGTTGGTGATCCATGTCAACAACCTGGCAAGTAGGATGGCATCACTGGCTCCACTCCTGCAAGCGTAAACCTCGGCTTCAGCTGATGACAATGAAACGATCTTCTGAGTCCTTGATGCTGAGTATATCAAGCACTTCCCAAACATCACAATGCAACGGCTTACAGACCTTCTGCTGAAATGGTCTGAAGCCCAATCAAAGTGAGTGAACACCTCCAAAACGTGTCCATTTGGATCCACATTCGGATAGCCGTGGAAAATGCCAGTTGCTTGACCACCCCATTTCAAAGACACGCAAACGTCCATGTGGCTGCAAAGATATCCCACGAAATGTCGATTTACTGTCAAACTCTTTTCAGTGGGTCTTGAACTGTAGGTGGCCAAATGTCGAATGACATGTTGAGTTTGTGAAAAATCATTCGCCAGATACATCAAAACACCAACACATGTCCTGAAGGTCGTGGCTGATGAAGTTGAAAGATCTGCTGTGTCATTTTCCTGTTCAACATCGGCATGTGCAGGGTTTTTATTACTCTGTTTTCGAACATTCAACCCAAGCAAACTGCAAAAAGCTGGGTGATATGCTTCTCATGCGTTTGAATTGTCAACCCCCCATCATCATGAAGTGCATACCGTCGATTCAAAAATGTCAGCTCATCACCTGGTTTCTCAATGTGTTGGACTGAAATATCATATGCAGCTTTGAGTTCCGGCAGGAACTTGCCCAACACATAGTCACGCTTTCCAAACACAAGCAAAACATCAACATGTATCATCACCACGCAAGATCCATCTTTTGAACGAAAAATGCATGGATATGGGGTGTGCTCCTCCAAGTCAAGTTTTGATTTGAGGAAACTGGTGATTGCACGATACCACAGCAAGCTTCCATCACGTTGTCCAGGCAGCACCTTCCCCAAAGAAAAACTGCGAGTTGTTCCACTTGCATCCGTTGTATGGACCGAGGTGTCTCGCTCTTGCTTCACAGTCAGCAAAGCATCTCTCACGTCCAAGCTGGCCATCACCATGTTTTCCTTTTCACGTCTCTCCAAGAAAACTGTTGGCAAAACTCTGGAAATGATACTGCCAGAAGCTGGACTGAATAGGTTTTCTCTTCCGGGCTCCAACCAAGCACACTC